TCTTTATTGATATGTAAAGGTAAAGGTTTCCCCTTGACATTAAGTCTAGTTGTGTCCGACTCTGAAGGTTGGTGCTCATTTCCATTTCTAAGCCAAAGAGCTGGCGTTGTCCAGAGACACCTCCAAGGTCATATGGCCAGCATGACTGCATGGAGCACCCTTCCCTAGCTGCAGGAGCAGTACCTGTTGATCTATTCACATTTGCATGTTTTTGAACTGCTAGGTAAGCAGAAGCTGGGGCTAACAGTGGGAGCTCACCCCCTCCCCGGATTCAAACTGCCAACCTTTTGGTCAGCGAGCTCAGCAGCTCAGCAGTTTAACCCACTGTGCCACCAAGAGCTTCTATCTTGATATATAATCTATATATTGATACAGCATTTTTTGGCATAAACTCTTTAGTAAACCTCTGGAATGCAATGCAGGAAAAAAGACAACCAGCGAAAGGACAAAACATTCTATTTTTTCTCCATTTTCGTATCAATTGGCAGAAATTATCTTTATTAGAAAAATGAATTTTTTTCATGTATTTACATTTTGTACATCTTGTATTTTTTTTTTACTTGGCACATGTGTTTAGTTTGTTTTGTTTTTCTCTCTCCTCGATATATACAGATTTCCCCCCCAAATGCACAAATCTCCGCCTTCCCCCCACCTTCCCTTCCTCTTTCTTTCTTTCTCTCTCATTCTCTTGTTTCTTTCCTTTTACATAGTTAACAAAAATGAAAAATACAATACAATTTTTAAGACAACCATAAGTCATTATATGCTTTTTGTTGTTGTTTGTTGTTGTTGTTCTATCATCAAAGTTTTGAAGCAAACGTTGTTGGTTTTTTTGTGGGTTTCTTGGTAGATATGTCTGAAAAAATATGATTTATACAGTATTAATTAGCACTTAAGTCATGCAGTTTGGGTTTAAATATGATGCTGGAAAGGGGCTTCGGAGACCAAAATACGGAACAAAGGAACGAAACAGACAACGGGGGAAAAATAATCCAGATTATTTTGTGTGTAACATCCGACTGCATTCGGAGATCGCATCCATATAGGATTTCATTTAAAAGTCTCTATGTGTGTATGGACAGACTGTGTTAGGTATATCTCTTTCCACAAAGTATACAAATGTGGATGTTTTTTGCCAACAGGAAAATATATATTCATAATGTCAATTATTTATGTGTTTTCCCAATACTCTTCCCCCCACCCCTTTTCGTACACGGAATTAGCATGATCAGGCGACAGATAATAACTGGAAAATATATAATAAGTCACATATATGTGATCCTTCGGCACATGAATATCATGCAGGGAAAGGAATGCAGCTCCCCTTTTAGACCGGAAATAAAGACAGTTTGCAAAAACAATATACACCCTATGGATACGTCCAGGTTCAATAAGGTTAGAAGTCTGCATCCAAAACTGGACTCATTGGTGAGGCACAAACAATCAATGCATCCAACATTATAGGCAAAAATACAAATAGGAAAGCAAGTCTTGGCAAATTCTTGTTCCATTTGGATATGGTGAGGATGAGTTCTCAATGGTTCGACTCTATTGTTGTTGGGTTGCTGTGAGTTTTCCGGGCTGCCTGGCCATGTTTCAGAAGCATTCTCTCCTGATGCTTCACCCAGATCTATGGCAGGCATCCTCAGAGGTTGTGAGGTCTGTTGGAAACTAGGCAAATTGGGTTTATATATCTGTGGAATAATGTCCAAGGTGGGAGAAAAAACTTGTTTGTTTGAGGATGATGTGAATGTTTCAATTGGCCACCTTGATTGGCTTGTTACTGCCTGGGGGAATCCAATTTTAGTATGGAGACTGTGATTACTGGAGAGTTACAAGTTATGCTCAATAATAGGCTTGGGTAACAACGGAAAAATTTGTTTCTAAACTCGTTTCGTTTTTAGGGGTCCATCGTTTCGTTTTTTTAAAGAATTCTGAAATTTTCCTTTTAAAAATTTCAAAATTTACGAAATTTCCTATAATTACGAATCGATTCGTTAATGGCGGACGCGATTGCGCAATATGCTAAAAAAAACCTCCAAATGGGACAGGGGGAACTTCTGAAGCTTCCCTCTCCCTCTGTTGTTGACTGTTGGTGTGATAAAACAAACAACAACTATAAAACTTGCACCAGACATGCGAAAATAATTACGAAATAATTACGAAATAATTACAAAATAATTACGAAATAAATTGAAAAAATTGTTTCGAATCTAATTTACTCCTCACACTATTCCTGCATGGCTCAATATTGGATCGTAAGCTAATTTAAATATGAATTAATAACGAATTACGAAATTAACGAACAAAACCGTCCAAGCCTAATAACCAGGTATATCAGTCTAACAGCTGAGAAACCTAATTGCCTTGCATCAGGCCCGTAGCCAGGATTTTGATTCAGGAGGGGCTGAGTTTGATTCGGGGGGTGGGGGTGGGGGGGGGCTGAGTCTGAGTGAAAGAGGGTCTACCCTAGCAAACCTTTTGTATCGTTACCCCTCTACCCCCATGCATATGGGATATATTGAGTATGGTGATCAGATCATGATATGAATAAACATAACAGTTTAAATAATGCACCAGTAAGGCCTTCTCGTAGACCACCATGAGAATTTTGGGGGGGGGCTGAAGCCCCTCAAGCCCCCCACCCCACCCCCACCCTCCGCTACATGCCTGTCTTGCATGAATACTAGTGGATATATACCACTAAGAGAAGATTCACTGAGAAGATTTGGCTTTTCTCGGGTGTTAGCTGGCCCTGATTGTTTAATCAATCCTCCCAGCTAAGCATTCCCCCAAGCAGGAATCAGCCAGTGTTTGAAGCTGCAAGACCATTCAGTGCTAATCAAGGTGGCCAACTGCAACATTCACGCTTGCCTCAAGCAGACGATTGTTCCTTCTCCCACCCTGGACATTATTCCACAGATATTTAAACCTCGCTTGCCTAGTTTCCAACAGACCTCACAACCTCTGGAGATGCCTGCCATAGATGCAGGCAAAACGTCAGGAGAGAATGCTTCTGGAACATAGCCATACAACCTGGAAAACTCACAGCAACCCAGTGATTTCGGCCATGAAAGCCTTTGGCAATACATTCTGTTGTTGTTGTTGTCATTATTACTGTTATTATTATTGTTACAGTAGATTCTCAATTAATCTATTTATTATTATTATTATTATTGTTATTATTATTATTATTATTATTAGACTCTCAGCTGACCTGAACCCAAGCAACTGGGGAAAATATCTTAAGAAAGAATGTATAATAATTACAATAAAATCCATTTTCATTGCCATTTAGTTCAAATCGCATACTTAATTCACAAATACAGATTTTGTAATGTATGGTGTTTCATGATGTTACTCTTCCTTTGTCTTAAATTGTTTTCAATGGCTTGCCTTTCAATATTAATCTCAATACAGACATCTAGTGTGGGATCTATAGTACAAGGTAGGCCTATTTATCATCACAATGCTTTGGTTTTTAAATGGAGTTTTAATGTTATTTTAATTTTCATGACACAGAGGTAGTTGTTTTAATATTTTATTGTACTGTGCCATGTCATTGAGTCCTTGGGGAAAAAAGAAATAATAATAATAATCATCATCATCATCATCATCATCTAACATGATATGAGGATTTAAAGATCAAACTGCAAAGACTCTGGCACAAGCCAGTCAAGGTGGTCCCAGTGGTGATCGGCACACTGGGTGCAGTGCCTAAAGACCTTGGTCTGCACTTAAACACAATAGGCGCTGGCAAAATTACCATCTGCCAGCTGCAGAACACCTTCCTGGGATCTGCACTCATTATTCGCCAATACATCACACAGTCCTAGACATTTGGGAAGTGTCCGATGTGTGATCCAATACATCAGCCAGCAGTGTGATCTTGTCTGCTGTGGGCTCATTTTGTTGTGCTTCTAATAATAATAATAATAATAATAATAATAATAATAATAATAATAATAATGCAATAATAATGTAATAATAATAATAATAATAATGGGTTATTGTGAGTTTTCTGGGCTGTATGGCCATGTTCCAGAAGCATTCTCTCCTGATGTTTTGCCTCCATCTATGGCAGGCATCCTCAGAGGTTTCCTACAGACCTCGCAACCTCTGAGGATGCCTGTCATAGATGTGGGTGAAACATCAGGAGAGAATGCTTCCAGAACATGGCCAGACAGTCCAGAAAATTCACAACAACCCAATGATTCTGGCCATGAAAGCCTTCAATAATAATAATAACAACAACAATAACAACAAAAATCCAGCATTGGCCCATCCTCATAGGTAAATTGATTCTATTGTATTAAAATATAGCCTGAACTTTCTTACAATATAGGATTTTGGGGTGCTTTCTCTTTGGGTTTTTTTTATTGGGTGGACTGGATGATCTTTGGGGGTCCCTTCCGCTGCTATGTTTATGGGATTCGGCCCCATATTCTTCCACCGCACTTCGACTGTCTTTACTATTATTAATGCTATTTCTTTAAAGGCTAAACTCATATTTATTTCCTCACTAAGTAGCTTTTGAAAGCGAGCCATTCAGAATTTATAGCCCAAACCCGAAGTCTTATGCGCTCAAGGATATACTGACAAATAGTCTTAAAAGACAAGGAGAAAAATAGAGCATAGGCCGGGCGCAAGAGCATCGCCGTGCTCTTTTTGATCACCCCGCTTGTAGATAAATAATTAGTTTACCATAAACCATATGGGATTTATTTCCCATCAGATATTCCCAAGGAAAGGATGTCTATTTTAGATGGACTTTTTCTGGAGGCATTTGAAGACGTAGCGATGGCTCGGTGGCCTCTCTAACTTCCTTTCAAAATCTATGTTTTTGCGACTCTAAAAGCCGTCCCTATAAGACAAACCCAACAATGCACAAATCGAACGAATCCAACAATGCACAAATCAAATGAGCAAGGCACCATTTCGACATGGAAACAAGAAATAAAGAGGCTTGGATTGGAAACCTTTGCAAGCGGAGCACAGCGTTTGCTTTTGGGTTTTGAAAGAGGGAATATCCTGCCTTCCCAAATGTTCCCTTTATGGGTCTTAACAGGGAATGTCATAGGGTTTTCCCAGGCAGTAAGTGGTTTGGCCAATTCCTCCCTCCAAAATAGAAAGAAAGGCTCATTATAAAAAGCAATTTAGTTGGTTGCTAAATTGTGAATTAACACTTATTTCAGGTCAATGGGGAAGCGCGACACAGTCATTTTAGGATTTGCAAAAAGCAAGCTGGAAATATAGAGGCTATATGTATAGATATATATATTTGACAATTGGAAAATATACCTTTCTTGCAAAATAATTTAAATCAATATGCAAAATAATTTGCTGGGGGAAGGGACGAATGGAGCGCTGGGCGTCTTTGGTACAATGCGGCATCATGCGGGGAAGGAAGACTCTGGTCCTGTGGCCACAATCCTGATGGATCGTGTCCAAAGACGACGTCAATACAAAGAAGGTTTCGAAGACCTTTCGGTTGCATGCATTGAGCAGATTCGGACAATGCCCACAATGTGCCCCCCTCTTTTACATGTTTTTAAAGTGCTCAGGTGCATTTTAACAATAAATACATGGAAGCATTCTCATGGATGGTATCCAGTCATTGGTCCTAGGGAGCTAGACTCAATGGAAGTAGACCTGGGATATACAGAGTTCTATTTCAGAGAGTTTATAGGTACCTTCTACGGAGCAAGGATATACCAAGCCGGAGCTTACCAACAGTCTAAGTGAAAGCAGCATTCAAGGGTCTCTGTCAGGGAGAAGTCATGGTCTTCTCCTCCTACCTTTTCTAGCCAGAATTGGTGGGCACTGTTGCAACATTGACATGGACTGAACCATGGTTGGAATCTGATGACAGATGGGATGAAGTTCTACCAGGGATAGACTGAACTATGTTGGAAACCCTACCGCAGATGGATCGAACCATGATTCAAGTCTGATCACAGAAAAATTGAGCCATGGTTGGAGTTCTACCATGGATAGATCAAGCCATGTCTGGAGCATGGATGGGTTGAAGTCCTATCATGAATGGACTAAACCATAAAGTTCAATCACAGATAGATCAAAACATAGTTGGAGTCTTACCAAAGAGGAGTTGAACCTTCTACCATGGATGAACTGAAACATAGTGGAAGTCCTAATGCAGATAGATCAAACCATGGTTGGAATCCTACCAGAGATAGTTATGACTGAAGTCCTATTACAGATGAATCAAAGTCCATCAACAAATGGAATGAACTATGGTTAAAGTCCTATCACAGATGGATCAAACCATGGTAGAAGTCCTATCACAGATGGGTTGAACCATGATTGAAGTTTGGTCACAGAAAGATCGAGCCATGGTTGGAGTCCTACCACAGATAGATCAAACCATAGTGGAGTCCTACTATGGGTGGATTGAAGTCTTACCATGGATGGACAGAACCATGAAGTCCTATCACAGATGGATCAAACCATGGGAGTTCTACCAGAGATTAGTTGTATCTTCTACCATGGATGAAATGAAACACTGTGGAAGTCTTACTGCAGATAGATGAAATCATGGTTGGAATCCTACCACAAATAGAGTTATGACAAGTCCTATTACAGATGCGTTGAAGTCCATCAACAAATGGACTGAACCATGTCCTATCACAGATGGATCAAGTCATGGTTGGAGTCCTACCATGGATGGGTTGAACCTTCTACAGTGCATGCACTGAATCTTGGTTGAAGTTCTACCACACATGGATTGAACTATGTGGAGGTCAACATGAAGAATATTCAATGAGGTCCAGGTCAGTGGTGGGTGAAACAATGACTTTTCCTTAACTCTGTGGTTATACAATCCTCAATGCCTTCATAGTGCACACCAAGAATGAGCTGAGCAACATCACCCATCCTTACAACACAACTGCCTGAGTATTTACTTCTTGCTTTGGGAAATATAATTGCATCTCTGCTTATTTTCAAGTGGGAGCACAACACTATCATTTTGGAACTGTATCTGTTTCATATTACAGGATGAGACCATCTCTGTGCAACCAAATCCTGAGAAACATAAGCAATGATACAAGCCAATGTGAATTCCAGCCTTGACCTGTGTCCTGATGTTTCCTAATATCTCCTTATAGGAGAAAAAGATGGATTGATCCATGGTTTGGATGTGGGAGACCCAAGGACAGATGACAACCAGCAATGGAAGAATGCGACCTATTATTTATCAGAACTGGCCCAGTACTAGTTTCAATGGAGGAAATACTTGAGAAATTGAAGAAAAAGAGTGGAAGACAGTGTCTGGACCTCATGGGGTTAAAGAACAGGAAAGTGCATAGGGAATATTAAAATAATTATTCTTCTGAGCGGGGAGGAGGAAAAAGCACAATTGGAGACCTAGAACATTTGGGTTGATAACATTACAACATTCCTCACAAATATTTGCAGCAAGGTGTCCTTCAAACGAAATGCAACAAAGAGGCCATCATGACATCTTGAGAATAGGGCCACAAAGGAACTGTACAAATGTCATTAGGGTTTTGTATAGGTCCCAAAAAACTAAGGATGGATTATCACATAATGCAGCTGGTTATGATTCATGCACGAATGGTATTAGAAGAGGAAAGATGTCAATTTCTGCACTGGAGTAAAATACAGGCACCCATTGTGATCCTAATTTTGCGTTTGGGTTTTATAGCGAAACTAGAAATTGGAAAATACTCCGTCTGCCCTTGGCTGATGATTTAGCACTTCTGCGTCGTGGTTAGACCAAGTCAAATAAGAACATAAAGGCTGCAGAATGCTTTTCTCTCTGCTCTAAATATAAGCTTAGAAGTACAAATTCAAAGCACTTGGAGCAAAGTCGGAAGCAGGAAAGACTGAGCGGGGATGGAAAAGAACAATAAGATCGGACCAGATGGGGAGCGGCTCCGGAAAGAAATGAATCATTTGAGTCCTAGGACATGATAGGAAGGATGAGACTCGGGGACAGAAAAGCAATTCGTGCTATAAGGGAGTGCCATGAGGACACTTCTCGAATGACCCGAATTTGTAATGATCGGGTAAGATCTAAATGTGGTCTTGTTGGACAAGGTTACATTACAGCTATTAAACTCTGAGGAGTTGGGAACATTACCATATTCTGAATCCACGGAAAGCGTTCTCAGCGGCATGAGTCATGCTCCTCTGCATTGGGTCAATGACCTGCGGTGCCGCGCAAGGGGACGCCGCGACAGAATGAACTACGGCTGAGAGGGAGCCCAGACGAGGAGGCGGCACACAATTTGCTCCCATGGCGTTCCTCGGCAATTGAACTGCGACGTTGTTGCACACTCAACGTCCTTGCAAATGCATCTGCTCATTCACCAATGGACAGCTGCATATGAGACGATACTACAAACACAACCCTCGAAATGAATGCAGATTTTCTATATTGGGGGGAAAGGAAAGGATCCAAAGAGGCTCTGCATGCATAAAACACTGCAACAGGGCGAAAGATTGAGTCGTTTGCTTGCCACAAAGGACTCACTGGGATGATTAAAACGGCGCAATGAATTAAGAATGGCAGCCCAGGTTGGAATTCTCCATGCGCCACTTGGTTATGTAATGACATTAGTTGCGTAACCTGGTTTACAATCCACATCTACTCTGCTAAGCATCAACCGCATGGAGAGAAGGGGGTCTCTTATGATTGGCGTTTCACCCCATTTCCCCTCAATTGTAAAGCTGCAAGAGGGGTCCTGGTTCTGATTGACAATTCAGAGCCAAGGGAGGGGGACCTCATTCATTAATATCCGGATCACCAAAAGGAAGAGGACCCCTTCCCTCCATGGAATGGGCACCTGATAAGATACCGTATTTCTTCAATTGTAAGATGCCATCAGTTATAATTTTGGGACCAGCACTGTCAACAAAAATACATAAGATACACCTGTGATTCTAAGAATTGAAGAAATACAGTACGTTTTGGGGGGTCAGTTACAATCTTGACCATATAATTGGCACTGTGTAGGAATAGCGCTTCCGCTACAACAGTATTACTCCTGTTACATGTTCATCAGTCTGATCCTGAATTTAAACCATAGTTTCTTTAAGACCAGCAGCCTAGATAACCCAAAATGGTGGCTGATATGAGCATTTTCCCAGTGGACTGGCAGGGTTGTTTTCCTCATATGCTTTCACTCTTTCAACCTTTCCTAGGAAGTCACAGCAGACGGACCACTACCAGCCCATGGACCACCATTTTCAGTAGCATTGCTAGAAGAAAAGTTGAATATCCTAAAAATTTAGAACAAATGGAAGCACAATATAGGACTTTCCATGGTTATCTTCTAAGGCCAAGATCTAACCTTTTGGCATTGATACAGGATGCAGTTTCTAAAGGATCAAAATAAAATGGCAAAACTGTCCAATTGGAAAGCACTTTCCTATTCTCATTTGATACCAAATACTTTTGTGAACAGAGGAGATGTTCATAGATTGGATTCCGAAGTTGTTCTCAACTGCTTCGGATCCATTTCTGGCCATGTGCATTGGCTATATGATGAAGCCCATCCGATCTGACAGAAAGGGCCTTAGGTTGCCAATGAGCATTGAGGGTCTTCACCTCATTCCCAGGAGCTCCTGGTGGCGCAATGAGTTAAACCCTTGTGCCAGCAGGACTGCTGACCAAAAGGTCGGAAGTTTGAATCCAGAGAGCGGGGTGAGCTCCCATCTGTCGGCTCTAGCTTCTCATGTGGGGACATGAGAGAAGGATGGCAAAACATCTGGGCATCCCCTGGGCAATGTCCTTGCAGACAGCCAATTCTCTCACACCAGAAGCGACTTGCAGTTTCTCAAGTCGCTCCTGACATTAAAAAAAACCTGATTCCCAACTTCTGGTGACTTTTAATGGGCATTCCCTTGCAAGCCATCCCAAGCTCAACCATAGGAGAAGACACAATGGATCTAATAATTACCTCTCTGTATACAAAGGGATGTTACAAGACCTTTGATGGAGAAAAGAGAATTGGTAGCTTTCCTAGACTGTTTTCTTAAATGCAACAAGAAACGCTTTTCACTACGGATCCCGGCTAAGGCAGCTATGTCTTTGCATATAACCTCTAGGATTCATAAAAGATCCTGTTTTGCTTTAACCAGAATTGATCCATGGGGGATAAACTGATACTGACAAATTAAGATCTGAGTTCCTCTCCTCATTTCAAAGAAAAGGCAGAGTAGATTCACATACTGCATATTGATATAATGCCGAGTCCAGCAGGACTAACGATGGGGCAGAGGCAAAATGAAGGCATTCCCTCCCCAAATCAGAACAATTCCTCCCCACAATGAGATTTCCCTTCCATTCCGACACGTCTAGCATTGCAGTAACCTGAAACCTCCTTCGAACATTTAGAGTTCAAGCATTCAAAGCATTCAGAGAAAAGCAACAGGCAAAGTGACCACAAGGCAATGCAAACACAGCAAAGAGAAGTCCAGATTTTTCAGTATCTCAATGCTAGAAATTTGAGGATGGAAGGGGGAAAACATTCATTTGGGATCAGGATTTATCTTTTGGGGGAGGCGATGCCCCCATCGTCGACTCCTTCTCTTTATTTCAGAGGTAGAGGGCAGCCAAAATGGACGCCTCCCCAGCCATGATCTATGGGATTATATAAATCAGGTGCAGATCTCGAATATTTCAGATGCGTTTTGCGAAATGTCCAAACATGCTTATAGATATCACCGGAAAGAAGTGCTGTGGGGAAAAAAAACAAGATGGAGCGGCATTCCTGGTCGAGTCCATTCCACATCTATGGCTGCTGGCATCATAGGTTCAGGACAATGAACACCGATGTTTGGTTGTAAACAAATGAGTGACCATTATTTTGGCAACGACGATCCGTGTTTTGGAGCAATGAGAAGGGACAAGGGAGGGAGAGATACTATACAGCCCTGAGTTATCATCACCAACACAGGAGAGACATGGACACACTGAGGATTCAAGTTAAGGTCACAAAGTCTCTACGGCTTCACAGACGCGTGCTCCATACACAAAGACCTTTGGGGTCGAAAATAAGAAACACCGAAATTTGTGTCGAGATTTCAGAGTTGCGATGTCGGACGGTGGAAGTTGTGTGTGTGTTTTCTACAAACCCATTTGGTTACAAAATATAAGCAACCGCGCAACAAAATGGAAGTATCTGGACATGAAAACCAACACCTGACAAGTGCAATGCATTGGGCCTACGTTTCCTTTCCCCCCTAATTTTTGGCTTCAGTCCCCAAACGGGTCTCTCCAGAATCTTCTCCCTGGAATGTAGGATCGGTTTGGGCTCAACAAGGCTGCCTTTGGGAAAGGGGTCACAATCCACCTGGTCCTTGCATCCTATGCCTTAGTCCCAATGAAGTAGACCCATTCAATCAGTTTCTTAATGGTAACTCAATACTTGGATCAATCGCATTGATGGATCTACTTACTGGTCCCAATGGAGTAGACCCATTCAATTCATTGTTGAACAACAATTCAACATTTGGGTCAACCCCACTGATGGGTTGACTGTACTGGTTCCCAATGGAGTGGACCCATTCCGTTGATGAATGGCGATTCAACACTTGGGTCAATCTCATTGATGGGTTGACAGCACTGGTTTCCAATTGAGCAAACTTATTCAATCATTATTGGACAAGTCAACATTTGGGTCAACCTCACTTTTGGGTTGACTGTACTGGTTGCCAATGGAGTAGACCCATTCCATTGATGAATGGCGATTCAACACTTGGGCCAATCCCATTGATGGGTCGACTGCACTGGTTTCCAATTGAGCAAACTTATTCAATCATTATTGGACAAATCAACATTTGGGACAACCTCACTTTTGGGTTGACTGTACTGGTTCCCAATGGAGTAGACCCATTCCATTGATGAATGGCGATTCATCACTTGGGCCAATCCCATTGATGGGTTGATTGCACTGGTTTCCAATTGAGTAAACCTATTCAATCATTGTTGAACAACAAATCAACACTTGTATTGATGGGTCAACTGCACTGGTCCTATTAGAGTAGACTCATTCTACTGATGACTCAACACTTGGGTCAGTCCCATTGACGGGTCTACTGCTGTTGGAACTAAGACTAGGATTGAGGCCAGTGTGTCGCATGAACAAAAGGAAGCATGCACCCCTGACCCTATCTACTGCCCAAACCCTCTTGCCTCTTTCCTACAGTCAACAAGACTCTTTTGAGACTAAAGTGAACCTTTTTTAAAGTGACATCAACCATAAAGTGCTATCCATCCAGGTCTGCTTTTTTTGGCTGCAGTGCCAATAGACTCCACACCGGAATGTCTCCTCCAATGTAAAACAACATGCAACAACCACCAGAAGAAGCCATTGCAAACCTCTTCCGTGCATAGGGAGAGGCCCGAGGAAAAAGAGAACACCCCTCCATGGGTGAGACAGGTTAATCCCTAGATAGGGGAACCGTCTAGAAATCTACATTCGGTTGGCAGAAGAGACATCTAGCCATGGTTTGACTGGACACCTGGGGTCCCCTGTTCGGTTCCAACCTATCAGAGGTGACAATAGGCTCCAACTTATTAGAAATACCAATAGAGTCCAACCTATTCAAAAGTACCTATAGGTATCAGAGGAACTCAGTAGGTTGGACACTGGGGTCCCTGATAGGTTGGACATCAGAGGTCTCTGATAGGTTGGATGCCAGGGTTTCCTTAAAGCAGTGGTTCCCAATCTGTGGGTCCCCAGGTGTTTTGTCCTACAACTCTCAGAATTCCCAGCCAGTTTACCAGCTGTTAGGATTTCTGGGGGTGGAAGACCAAAACATCTGGAGAACCACAGATTGAGAACCCCTGCCTTAAGGTATCCTCATAGGCTGGACACCAAAGTCCCTGATAGGTTGGATGTCAAAGATCCCTAATAGATTCCAACCAATCAGAGATCCCCTGATAGATTGGGCACTGGGGTCCTTGATTGGTTGGACAACAGAGGTTCCCCAATAGGTTTGATGCCAGATTGGCCATGATGCAGAAATGCCAAGAGAATGCTCCCTCTCTTCCAACCTGTCTCACCGGGTCAAGGGGGCTAACCTGGCAGGGGTCCTAGGGAAGCCCTCCCCCACACTTGCTTTCAATGGGGACTAGTGTGGTCTCCACAGTCTCTATGGAAAGATGGGAGAGGAACACCCATGGCCCATCTGCCTCGCCCTTTCCTGTGACATATTTCTCCATTCCCAGTTGCACACTACATCTCCCAGTTTGGGAACAAGTGAGCCTCATTTAGCAATTAGGACCCTTCCACTCCTTTCTATGGGATTTGGCAAGGGAGGAGGAGGAGGAGGAGTCCGTGGTGGAAGCCAGCCTTGGTCTCTGTAAGACAGACACAGATGAACACAATATCGTTTTCCATTCATGGGCCCTGAGATTAGGTTTTTTTTCTCTTTTGTTTGACTGTGTTTAAAAAACAAAGATGAGACTAAATCATATAGCTCTAGCTATATATATATATATCTATATCTGTATATATATTTCTTTTTTTTTAGAAAAAAGACTAACTTTCTAATCTCTTTGACAAGTCTTACCGTTTTGTCAGTGTGCAAATGCATTCTTAAACATTTTTTTTTGTCTTTGTTTTTGTAGTTGCTCTGTGTCAAAGTACATGCATACCATATTGCTTATTTCTCTATTCAAAAAAATAAAATAAAAGTTTGGGAGGACAGAATTACAAGGGGGGGGGGCGAAAGTGCTGGAAGGACATGGTCCGACGGACAAAAGGTAAAAGAACCATCATAATAGAAAAATAACATAGTTGCCAACAGGAATCGGTGGGTTGATCCCGACATCTGATGTCCATCCGCAACGCTCATTTTTGAACTCACCCCAAGGGTATATTTACACTACAGACTGCAAATTCTCCAAATTCTCCATATTTCCAGGGAATTGTAGCATTTCATGAACGGGACTTGGGATCTTTAGCATTGAACCCAAAGCGCCATCTTGAAATTCTAATTTCCAGTTGGCTCAAAGGCCATATCAAACTACGTATAGGTGAATCTAATACATTTTAGAGAGGAGCTTGGGATCTGTAGCATGAAATCCAAAGTGCCATGAAGAAATTCCAATTCCCTTTAAAGCCATATTAAACAAAACCTAGGTGTGTAGTAGAGATATGCCCTTGGAGAGAGATATTTTCTCTTTCATAATTTCCAATTTTTTTTTCCTTGAGCAACTACATAACCGCTTGGCGCACAAATTTGACTAGTTGCCAATCCGCCAAGGAATTTTCCCCGTCCGCCTGGAGAGAATGCTGGCAACTATGTTTCCCTATGGAGAAAAAAGTGTTTAATCGGGGAATGTGGGGAGGGAAATGAACCGCTAAACATCCGATTCGATGCTAGGCATCTTCTTATATATGCGTCTATTGCTGCAGGAATTTATCACCCTCGGCGTGGTGTAGGAGCTAAACTGATTTGCAGCGTAAGGCAACCCAGGCTCCAAAAGGTACACGTCGTTGTGGACCCGTCCGTCTCTGGAACAGTACGAGGCGGTCGACTTTATCGACGACCGGGAGTAATTATCATTCCTCGCCCCTTTGGTCGGCAAGGAGAGTCGATAAAGGCTCCCCGGACTGCGCCCGAGGGCTGCGGCCTGGTCGTCGCTGCCACCGCAAAGCGAGTGTAGGAAAGGGGTCTCCGCCGAGAGGTCAGGATATGCTGACCGGACCCTCTTCCCATCGTCCAGAGTGCGGGTGAAAAGCGGGACATTGTTGCTCAAGAATTGGCTTTGCGGGGCAGCGTTAAAGTGGCTCGCAAAAAGGCCGCTTCCGCCGCCGCCACTGCCTTCAAGGAGCTTCTCCCGCTCTCTGAGGCTGATGCTGCGGGATGGTCTTGCTGCAGCATCAGCCTCCCTGGCCTTCTCAAAAAGATTGTCGAAGGAACGCTGCCGTCCGATCTTCAGCTTGCTCTTCTTGGGTGGCTGCGTCTGGTTGTTCTGGACCCAGTTGTGGCGGTAGCTCTCTGCCCGGGGCACAGTCTCAGCAGCTGCATCCGTCAACATCTGGTCCTCGTCAATGTCATAGAGGTTCCCCATCCGCAGGCAGGAGTCACACTTGTAGGGCGAGCGGCTCAAGTAGTGCCCGGCGTAGGCAGGCAAAGTGGACAGACAGCTACGGCAATGGGTGGCTGTCTGTCGGTAGCGCTCGTTGGCCTCGTTCTTCTCCTTCGCAGCGTAGTGCTTGGAATAGAGCTTGTACTGGTCTTCGCTCGGAAGGCTTTCCTCATCAGGCAAAGCGGTCCTGTTACTCGACGACTCTGCCGGGTGGTAGCTATCGTCGGGCTCCTGATACACCTCCGAAAAGCCCACCGACTCCGGAAGGATAATGTTCTCAATATACTGGGGTGTGTCCAGACGGAAGCCGCGCTCCTTCTCCGCGTCAATGATGTAGATTTTATCCCGGGGCAGGGATTTGTTTTTCAGATATGTCAACTCAACATCACTGCAGTCCTTCGGGTATTTGGCTACAGGCCTCTTCTTTGTGTTGTCTTTGGACTTGTGGGGTTTGTTGTTGGTCTCGGCTGGTTCCGCGTGGCAGGAGGTATCCGAAACGTCAGAGCGAATGATCTCTTCAGGGAGGAACCGGGACCCTTTCAGGGAGTGCTGCCGGTTCTCCGAATCTGTCTCTTGTGGTGGACCTTGGCTCTGGCGAAGGGACTCCTGGCGCAAGGACTCCACCGATTTCCGCCACAGCTGTCTCGGACGTGAGTTCCCCTCTGCTTTGGTGGCCACAGCCACCTCCACTGTGTTTGGGTTGGACTCATTGAGCGTCAGGGGGTGCTGGCCTTGGAAAACATAGTTGTTGAGGTTATCCTTGTGCCGGTTGCCCATGTAGGTCTGCAGGTCACTCATGTTGTCTGTGAAAATGTTCTCCTTTGGCGGAAAGGTCCGGTTGTTGTCAGGGAACATCAGGTTCCCCTTGTCCATCATCATATCCATGATCAGAGAACCCCTGTGGATGAAGTCCGCTGTCCGTTTGGGAGAGGGGTTCAGGTTGGTCATGTTGGTCATATTCTTGGCCGTCCGCAGGAGTTTCAACATGTTGGTTTGGGAGCTGGTCAAGGTGAAGCTGGGGGACTTCTTCTTCTCCTCAATATGGACGCCATGGATGCAGCTGTAAATACCCTGCAAAGGCCAGAGAAACACAGATTAAGTCATGGAACCATAGGCCTGGAAAAGACCCCAAGGACAACCCAGTCCAATCCCATTGTGCTATTGAGCTATTGTCCAATCCTATTGTGCTACTGAGACACAATCTAAGCCCTCCCAACAGAGGTTACTCGGTCTCTACTTTAAAAACCTCCAGAGAAGGAGGCCACCAGACTCCCAGGAGCACATTCCACCACTGAACAACTCTTACCATCAAGAAATTCTTCCTCATATTGAGGTTGTATCTCTTTTGCTGCAATTTGATCTATGTCCTGATCTCTCAAGCAACAGAAATCGAACTTGTCCCCTCCATGATATGGTATCCTTTCAGATATTTATGATAGCCATATTTAAATATCCGAAAGGAAGTCATATTGAGGAGGGACCATGTTTGTTTTCTGCTGCTCCGGAGACTAGAACAAGACTTGACAAGGTTGAAATAAATAGCCATCTCTTCTCCAAGGTAAACATACCCAGCTTCCTTGGCCTTTGCAAAGTTTTTCCAATGCTGTGTGCCTACAAAAGCCACAAAGTACAAACAAGGGGGGAAAATACTTGATGAACCAACCTGAACACAACATATTATTTGAGAACACTGAAATGCTGGACCATTCCAACAACTACCATGACAAACTACATAGAGAAGCCACTGAAATCCACAAGCATGGGACAATTACAACAGAAAGGAAGAAACCATGAAAATGAAAAAAAATTGGCTACCAGTATTTAAAAAAATCTAAAGTCATACAGTAAATAAAGAACAATACTTAAAAAAACAGGGGAATTCCAGACAAGAAACAACCAGGGCCAGCTAATCACCTTCCAACAAAGGACTCCCCCAGGCAGTAAGAAGCCAGACCTTAAAATTGCTGGGCCATTAAATGCTAATCAAGGTGGCCAATTGAAACATTCGCATGTACCTCCAACAGACAAGAGTTCTTTCTCCCACCATGGACATTCTACAGATATATAAACCCAATTTTCCTAGTTTCCAACAAACCTCACAATCTCTGAGGATGCCTGCCGTAGATGCAGGCAAAACATCAGGACAGAATGCTTCTGGAACATGGAAATATAGCACAGAAAACTCACAGCAACTCAGTTTTAACCTATTCATTTTCATATCTAGACCCACAAATTTTAATTAAATGTCATACATGAAGCCAATTAGGTTGGTTGCACATCCTGTACTTTCCGCTTTTAATGTTTTGAATGACTAGTTTTAATGTTTTTCAAAGCCACTGATTCTAATGTTTTAAATATTTTAAACGCCTGGTCTGTGACCGTAATAATAAAATTCATCCATTCATTCAGATATTAGAATATGGATCCAAGGGCTGCGTGGATACAGGTGCCGGGGAGTGTGACTAATACAGATCAAACACCTCTGTTTTGCATCCACAATTTCCAAGGTCACAACTTGCAGTGTGAACGAGTTTTGGGATGATTGCAGCCCATGCGTTTGGACCGGCATGTTGTTCCTTCCCAACCAGATGTCCACCAGAAGGCCACAGGCTGCTCCACCTGCCAAGCCCAAAGTGGCCAGCTGGCTCCAATGGTCAAGGCCCAGACGGTGCTTGCGATGAACCATGGATGCCCTTCCTCCAGGCAAAACAAGAAGAGGCCGCCTCTCTAAAGAGCAAAGAGCACCCTTGCAAGGCTCACGTTTGCTCTGCCCCGGCTTTCACAAAGAAAAAAAAGGATCAAAATGCTGCTTAACGTAGTTCAAATACAATAAACAATGTGCATGCATTAAAATGCAATGAAAATACAAGTATAATGTATTGTCAAAGGCTTTCATGGCCAGAATCACTGAGTTGTGAGTTTTCCAGGCTGTATGGCCATATTCCTGTAGCATTCTCTCCTGATGTTTATAGGCAAGTGGGGTTTATGTTCAGGGTGGGAAAAAGGATACTTGTCTGTTGCAGGCTGTTGCAACTGGCCACCTTGATTAGCACTGAATGGCCTTGAAGCTTCAAAGCCTAGCCTGGTGCAGTGCCTCAAGACCTTGGCATGCACTTAAACACAATCGGCACTGACAAAATTACCATTTAGCATCTGTTATAGAACTCCAGTATGCTGATGACAATGTCATCTGTGCGCATTCAGAAGATCTACAAGCCACTCTAAACACGAGAAGCTCGGCCTGTCATTGAACATCAAGAAAGCAAAGTGCTGTTCCAGCAGTCACCAGCCAACCCCTCTCCAATGCCAGAAATACAGCTTAATGGCGTAACATTAGAAAATGTTGACTATTTCCACTACCTTGGCAGCCACCTCTCCACCAAAGTCAACACTGACACCGAAATACAACACTGCCTGAGCTCTGTGAGTGCAGCATTTTTCCGAATGAAGCGGAGAGTGTTTGAGGACCGGGACATCCGTAGAGATACCAAGGTGCTTGTCTACAAACCCATTGTCCTCCCAACCCTGCTATATGCCTGCGAGACGTGGACTGCCTACAGATGACATATGCAACTCCTAGAACGATTGCATCAGCGCTGCCTCTGAAAAATCCTGCAAATCTCTTGGGAAGACAAGTGGACAAACGTCAGCGTGCTGGAAGAAGCAAAGACCATCGGCATTGAAGCGATGGTCCTCCGCTGGACCGGCCACGTTGTCCGGATGCCCAACCACCGTCTCCCAAAGCAGTTCCTCTACTCTGAACTCAAGAATAGAAAACGGAACGTTGGTGGACAGGAAAAGAGATTGAAAGATGGCCTCAAAGCCAACCTTAAAAACTCTGGCATAGACACTGAGAAATGGGAAGCCCTGGCCCTTGAGCGCTCCAGCTGGAGGTCAGCTGTGACCAGCAGTGCTGCAGAATTTGAAGAGGCACAAATGGAGGGCAAAAGAGAGAACTGTGCCAAGTGGAAGGCGTGTCAAACCAACCCGACCGAGACCGCCTTCCACCTGGAAACCAATCCCCTCACTGCGGGAGAACATGCAGATCAAGAATAGGGCTCCACAGTCACCTACGGACCCACCAGAACACTGATCCTGGAAGACTATCCTACTCGGCCAACGAGGGATCGCCTAAGTAAGTAAGTTAGCATCATCTGCAAAAAAATTACCATCACCTGCAAGAGGCCACCCTACATGACATGTGATCCAATACAAAAGAAAGCATAGTGATCTTGTTTGCTGTGTACCAATTTTGTTGTGTATCACATAAGGAGGAGGAGGAGGAGGAGGAGATGATCTCTCTATTCGGTCCTCCGCCTCCAGTTTGGCCATTCCTTGCAATTAGGCACTGAAACGCCATAGTCCCATCCAATTATTTCCCATATGTTTTGGCAAATGACCGAATTGCAGCGTCTATTAACTAATTAAAATCCTAGCGATGGAAGTTGCCAAAGGTTCAGACTAAGCAGATTTGCAGCTTGGGTTTAAATAAATAACTTATTGGGATTTTTTTTTGTCTTTTCTTTTTTTGCTGCTGCTGCTGGTTTTTTAAAAATACTGGTTGCATAAATAAGAGGGGAGAAATTAAATTGGCTCTGTCCCTCGCAGACAAACGACTTCAGTTATAACATTAATTGCCTATTGAAGCTGTATGTTCAATTGGGAACGTGGCTGGAGATGGTCAGAGGTATTATATATGCGGCAGGGAAAATAATTGCAATATATTGGCAGTTTCAAGGGATGGGGTGAGGGATATTTTGAAATGGGATTAGTATTATGATGTTATGGATTTACTTTATTTTTATGCTGCCTTTCTTCCTGTTTCAAGATTTGAGGCAGATAAAGGGAAAAATGGGTGCAAAGTAAAGGTGCATTAAGTCTAGTCGTGTCCGACTCTGGGGGTTGGTGCTCATCTCCATTTCTAAGCTGAAGAGCCGGAGTTGTCCGTAGACACCTCCAGCATGACTGCATGGAATGCCATTACCTTCCTGAAGAAGCAGTACCTATTGATCTACTCACATTTGCATGTTTTCGAACTGCTGGGTTGGCAGAAGCTGGGGCTAACAGCAGGAGCTCACCCTGCTCCCCGGATTCCAACCACTAATCTTTCAGTCAGCAAGTTCAGCAGCTCAGTGGTTTAACCCAAGGTTATGTGGCCACATGACTGCTTGGAGCACTGTTATCTTAAAGGGAAAGATGGGTGCAAAGCTGGCCAAAATGCCATACACCATTGTTCTCTTCAGGCCATTTTTAGATGGTTTTCCAAAATAAAACGTAGCTTACAGTTGGCCCTCCATATCTATGGATTCCGCCATCTTAATATCCTTAAAAAATTCTTACCAAAATTGGAAAAAAGTAAATCCTGCTTATGCCAGTGTTATATAATGGGATCTGTCATTGTATAGAATGGGCATTAATCATCCACTGATTACAGAGCCATTGCGTGAATATATATATATATATTATATCAATCTATTGTCGAAGGCTTTCATGGCTGGAATCATTGGGTTGTTGTGAGTTTTCTGGGCTGTATGGCCATGTTCCAGAAGCATTCTCTCCTGATGTTTCACCCACATCTATTTTATTTATTTATTTACCTTATTTACTTATTCATTTATTTACCTTATTTATATCCTGCCTTTCTCTACCTTGGGGGGGGGGGGTAGTCAAGGCTGCTTACATATGGCACCTACACAGTGCCTCAAAACATACAAAATTCACCTAAAAATGGTTTGGATTAAAAATGACAACATAATAAACGTGATTAAAATACATTCGAGGTTAAAACACGCCATCCAGAGTTCAAGGTCTAAAGCCATTCCGTGATCAATTGCACATCATTCCACATTAGGATAACTGCACTGCCCTGTTTTTTCCGAAAACCTGCTCCCAGGGTCAAGTTTTGACTCTCCTCCTGAAGGCTAATAGGGAGGGGGCTGATCTGATGTCGCTAGGGAGGGAGTTCCACAAGTGAGGGGCCACCACTGAAAAGGCCCTGTCTCTCGTCCCCACCAGCCGTGCTTGCGAGGAAGCTGGGACCGAGAGCAGGGTCTCCCCAGATGATCTTAGTCTCTGAGCTGGTTTGTAGGGGAAAATACTTTTGGACAGGTAGATTGGGACGGAACTGTTTAGGGCTTGATAGGCTAAAGCCAGCATCAATGGCAGGCATCCTTAGAGGTTGTGAGGTCTGTTGGAAACAAGGCAAGTGAGGTTTATATAAACCCCACTCGCCTAGTTTCTACAGATATATAAACCTCACTTGCCTAGTTTCCAACAGACCTCACAACCTCTGAGGATGCCTGCCACAGATGTGGGTGAAACATCAGAAGAGAATGCTTCTGGAACATGGCCATACAGCCCGAAAAACMCTCAGATAGATAGATGTTATTTCAAATAGCAAACCTTGATTTTGCCATTGTATATAAGGAAATACTGTTATTTCCTATCAGCCTCCATGGATCTATGGACTTGAGCATCCATAGATCCATGGCTTGAAAACATTACATATAAATAGAGAGATAGAGGAAGACAGAGATAGATGTTATTCTAAAAAATAAACCTTGATTTTTTCCATTTTATGTAAGTGAGTGCTGTTATTTTATTATGGCATTGCATCATATTATTATTATTATTATTATTATTATTATTATTATTATTATTATTATTTTACTGACACAAAAACACAGTATGTCACAGCAAACGAGATCTCTATTATTATTATTATTATTATTATTATTATTATTATTATTATTATTATGCTAATGGGACTTGAGCATCCATGGATTTTACTCATACAGATCCATGGCTTGAAAATGTTATAAATACAGATACAGAGATTGACCCATGGTCTCTTTGCAGGCTGACATGGCCCATTATCCTCCTGATGAGGATACAAGAAGGTGAAAGTGTGGGTGCTAATTGGGTGAAATTCATTAAAAGGAACCCAACAAGACAAGAGCACTGACCCTGCTGATGGAGAAGAGCAATCCGGGCCGGTCAGAGCAGACGCCGGTGAAGCAGAAGCGCAGCTTCCAATAGAAGAGGTGCTCCCAGACAAAGGTGATGAGGCTGAGGGCCATGGCGGCTGCCAGCATGTAGAAGACGCCCGCCATGTTGTCAATGTCCAGCTGGCTGCTCATGACCTCATTCTTCTCATTGTGACAGATCCCCGTCAGCCACAGTGTTTCCAGCTCCTCCATCTCGCCTGCAATGGGAAGAAGGCACCATTGGTTAAAATCAGGAAGCTTTGATTTTATCATCACCATTGGCAACATCATCACCACCAACATCATAATAATCACCAACAACATCATCACTATCACCATCATTGTCATCATTACGATCACCATCACTATCAACGTATCATCACCATCAACATCATTACCATTGCTATCATCATCATAGCCATCCTCAACATCATCCTCTACATATCATCATCATCATCATCATCATCACCATCATCAACAGCAACAACATATCATCACCATCAACATTTTCACATCACATCATCACCATCGTCATTGCCATCACCATTATTACCATCATTATCATCATCACTATCAATATATCATCACCATCAACATCATCACCATCACTGTTGCTATCATCATTATCATCAACATCATCAACAACAGCAGCAGCAGCAGCAACGTATCATCACCATCAACATTATCACCATTGGCCATCATCACAATCATTGCCATCACCATTATTACTGTCCTTATCACCATCACTATCAATATATCATCACCAACAACATCATCACCCTTGACTATTATCACCATCACCATCCTCACCATCACTATCATCATAATCACCACCATCATCGTTGCCATCATCACCATCATTAACACAATCACTACATATCATCAGCCATCATAACCAACACTACTGCCATCATCGTCATCATCATCATCACTATCATCACAGTCGGCCATCACCATCATCACCGTCAACAGCACCATCATCGACATCATCATCACAATCAACAGCACCATCAACCTCATCATCATATCACCATCAACATCACCATTGCCATCTTCATCACAATCAACAGAACCATCACCACCAACATCATAACCATCACCACCATCATCATTACAATCAACAGCACCATCAACATCATCCCAATCATCACCATCATCATTACCACTACCATCACCAACATCAACGGACCACGACCACCGTCACCTCTCTAGAAATCTCTAGGTCTTCCATCAGAACCCTGATCTGCCCAAAGGTTTTCCCCTGCCATAAAGCCCAGTTGTGTCCGACTCTGGAGGCTGGTGCTCATCTCCATTTCTAAGCTGAGGAGCCAGCATTGTCCATACACACCTCCTAGGTCATGTGGCTGGCATGACTGCATGGAGCGCCCTTACCTTCCCACTGGAGCGGTATCTATTGATCACATTTGCATGTTTTCAAACTGCTAGGTTGGCAGAAGCTAGGGCTAACCCCACTCCCTGGATTCGAACCTGCAACCTTTTGGTCAGCAAGTTCAGCAGCTCAGTGCTTTAGCCCACTCTGCCACCGGAGACTCCAATCTGCCCACAGCTCAATGCTATGGAACCCTGGGATTTGTAGTTTCCGAGGCACCAGCTTCTTGGTCAGAGAAGGCTGTGGCTCTTGCAAAAGTACAACTCTCAGGAGTCCATAGCATTGAGTGATGGCAGTTCAAGTGGCACAAAACCGAATTAATTCCACATCTTGGATGCACTGAAAGCCTTCTAATTTTTCTTGCTTTCTTTCCTTTTGCGATTCAATCCCCCAAAGAAGAGAAAACAAACCTGCTTGGCTCCGGTTGCAATTTCAATATAAATGCAAGAAAACAGCTGCAAACGATCCCTATTGTCTTATTTTTCTGTTAATAAAGCGGAGGTAATTAGAGGCAAAAAAGGGGGACATTCAGAGCAGGACAAAAGGGGAAATCTTTCCGATTGTTTGGAGGAGCACTTTTTAAAATGCTGCAAATGGATGGAGCTGAATGCCGGAGGCTGTCCTACAAAAGGCACTCATGTTTAAAATTAAGAAGAGGAGACGTCCGGAATGAGAGACATTTGGAAGGAAGGAAGAAAAGCAACTTGAAGATTGGGTTTCTTTCTTTCAAAAATATCCTTCGAGAGGAGAGAGTGTTCCGCCTCCGTCATTTCCCCCAAAGGTTGGAACATGTTAAAAATAAGAGCCGACAATGCAGTCGATGTTTCATAACTTTGCAAATGGGAATGGCCGCTCTACACTTTAGAAAGAATGCCGTTACGTACCATTTTAACAACCATGGTTCAATGCTATGTAATCTTAGGATTTATAGCTTGCTGAGATGTTTAGGATGCATCTATATTGTCAAATTAATGCGGTTTGGCACCATTTTTGCTGCCATGGCTGGACGAGCTGGGGGGAGTAAAGCTAACTCAGCTGTGTCCACCGGGTTTTGGAGTGCATCAGCAGGCCAGGCCGGGGGGTGGGGTGGGGAGGTGGGGTCGCAGTAGTCTATCGGCAATCCATCGCCGTGGTCAGATACTCGGTTCCGCAATCACCTGGGTTCGAGTGTGTCCACCTGAAGGTGGGAAACTGTGAGAGTTTGGGGTTTCTGCTGGTGTACCGCCCACCCCGCAACCCAGCAGTTTCCCTGCCTGAGCTAGCAGAAGTGGTCTCCAATTCGGCCTTGGCCTCCCAGCGCCTGGTAGTGTTGGGAGATTTTAACATCCATGCTGAGACCCCTTTGACTGGAGCAGCTCAGGACTTCATGGCTGCCATGACGACCATGGGGCTCTCACAAGTTATATCTGGACCCACCCATCAGGCTGGACATACACTCGACCTAGTTTTTGTGGCGGACAATGAAATGATCAGAGTGGAAGAACAAAACATCCTTCCTTTGTCATGGTCTGATCACTATCTGATCAGTTTTAGACTATCTGCGACCCTTAACCTCCGCAGGGGTGGAGGACAAATTAAGATGGTCTGCCCCAGGAGACTGATGGATCCGGATGGATTCCTGAGGAACCTTGGGGTTTTTCCTGCCATGGAGTCTGGCGATCCTGTCGACGCCTTGGTAGATCTCTATAATAGGGAGATGTCCAGGGCGATAGATACGATCGCTCCCGAACGCCCCATCTCGTTGGGTCGAGACAGGCCATCTCCCTGGTTCACCGAGGAGTTGGCCATGTTGAAACACAAATGGATTTGATGGCCTGGCTGTTGTTTGGTGTGGCTTGTTAGTGCCTGGAGCAATCTTTTGTTGAGAGGTAATTAGATGTCCCTGATTGTTTCCTCTCTGTTGTTTTGCTGTTGTAATTTTAGAGGTTTTTTTTAATACTGGTAACCAGATTTTGTTCATTTTCATGGTTTCATCTAATCACCTCTCAACAAAAAATTGCCCCAGGCATTAGCAAGCCACACCAAATAACAGCCAGGCCATCAAATGCTAATCAAGGTGGTCAGTTGAAACATTCACAACTAGCTCCCAGGGTGGGACAAACATCCTTTGTCCCACCCTGGTCATTCCACAGATATATAAACCCATTTTCCTAGTTCCAACAGACCTCACTACCTCTGAGGATGCTTGCCATAGATGCAGGTGAAACGTCAGGAGAGAATGCCTCTAGAACATGACCATATAGCCTGAAAAAACCTACAACAACCCAATGAAGAACCTCTCCTGAAGGACCCTGGTCAAGGAAACCCCAAGAGATTATTGCCTCGAGCTGGAGTTGATGTACAGGCACTGTTTTATGGGTTTGAATGCCAAACTATAAGGCCACTGGAGGCCATGGAGGTTGACTGTAGCGAAGTCACACAGTCAAACTTGGGTGAAGGTAACGGAGAACCTCATCTGAAGAAGCCTGGCCAAGGAAACCCATTGGATCGCTCCCCCATAAGTCAGAGCCAACATGAAGAGCCATCAATCAGAGTAAATGACAAACCCAACGCTACAAGGTTCTGCAAAATAGATTGAGCAGCAACTATGGATCCTTTACAACCACAGAATGAAACCCAGAGTGGATTGGCCACACTCCTGCCATGCGTGCCAACAGAAGAAGAACGGCAGCCATAAATGGCTGCCAAAGGGACTCACCGTCACCCACGAACTGCAAGAGTGCCAAGTCGATGGCCCTCTTCCAGGGAGACCCTTTCTGGAGGGCGATCCCGTAGCCGGTGGTGGCGAAGATGTAGCCACTGCCAATGGTCACCAGCTTACAGCCCTCGTCCCGGCCAGCTTTGTAGTTCAGCACTGCTGCATCGTAGATGAAGGCATCCAGCTTCCTGCAATAAAGGAGAAAATATATTTAACATTGCAGGAAAAGAGATCCCACCAAAACATTAGGAACAACTTGCAGACAGTCAGAGCTATTTGATAGCAGAATATACTGCCTGGGAGTCCCCTGCACGTTGGGTGGCCATCTCTCGGGAGAGCTTTGATTGTGTATCCCTTTATCCCTTTATGGCAGAAGGGAGTTGGACTGGATGACCCTTTTGGGGATCTCCTCCAAGTCTATGATTTGATGAAAATAAAAGGATGACGAGCCTCTTGTGTTGCATCTCAGGTTACATTGATGCTGCAAAATTAATGCAGTTTGGCCCCACCTGAAATGCCACGTCTCTATACTATGGAATCCTTGGAGTTTACACTTTTTGACAAAGAAGGTTCAAGACTGGGTTGCGGTGAGTTTTCAGGCTGTCTGGCCATGTTCCAGAATCATTCTCTCCTGACGTTTCACCCACATCTATGGCATGCAATCTCAGAAGTTATGAGGTCTTTTGGAAATAGGCAAGTGGGGTTTATATATCTGTGGAATAATGTCCAGGGTGGGAGAAAAAACTCTTGTCTGTTGGAGACAAGTGTGAATGTTGCAATTGGCCAGCTTGATTAGCACTGAATGGCATTGCAGCTTCAAAGCCTGGCTGCTTCCTGCCTGGGGAATCCTTCGTTGGGAGGTGTTAGCTGGCTCTGATTTACTCAGGAAAACTACAACTCTCGGGACTCTTATCACATGGGGCCATGGCAGTTGATCAAATGGGGAGGGCCAATACTCCAGAAGACAGGATCAGGATCCAAAGGGACCGTAACAGATGAGTGAGCTGATAAGTCATATGAATTTCAACAAAAACAAATGGAGGATACGACATTTAGGCAGAAGAAACGAAATGTAAAGATACACGATGAGTGACACCTGCCTCCACAACAGAGTTACATGTGGAAAAAGATCTTGGGAGTCTTCGCAGACAACAAGCTGAACACGAGCAAACAGTGTGATGCATCAGCTAAAAAGCCAATGCCATTCTAGGCTGCATCGAGAGGAGTGTAGTGTCCAGATCAAGGGAAAGAATAGTGCCCCTCTATTCTGCTTTAGTCAGACTTCGCCTGGAATAATCGCACTTCTGGGCAAAGCAATTGAAGAGATGGAACAAGTCCAGAGGAGGGCAACTTTTATTTATTTATTTGTCGTGTCAGAGCAGCCAGTCCATTATATTACATTTCTAACATAACAAAGCAAACAAACAGAAAAATACACAACTTGTAAGTTTGGTAGCTGGTTAAATGTGGTTAGTGGATGATCTGCGCCGGGAGCTAGACAGGGGGAGTGTGTCCCTGTTGGTGCTCCTGGACCTCTCAGCGGCCTTCGATACTGTCGACCACAGTATCCTTCTGGGGCGCCTTACGGGAATGGGTCTTGGGGGCACTGTTTTGCAGTGGCTCCAGTCATTCCTGGAGGGCCGCACCCAGAAGGTGTTATTGGGGGACTCCTGTTCGACACCACAACCTTTGACTTGTGGGGTCCCACAGGGTTCCATACTGTCCCCCATGCTGTTTAACATCTACATGAAGCCGCTGGGTGAGATCATCCGGAGTTTCGGGGTGCGGTGTCATCTGTACGCAGATGATGTCCAACTCTGTCACTCCTTTCCACCTGCTACTAAGGAGGCTGTCGAGGTCCTGAACCGGTGCTGGCTGGATGAGGGCGAACAAACTGAAACTAAATCCAGACAAGACAGAGGTACTCCTGGTCAGTCGCAGGGCCGAGCGGGATATAGGGTTACAGCCTGTGCTGGATGGGGTCGCACTCCCCTTGAAGGCGCAGGTTCGCAGTCTGGGTGTGACCCTGGATTCATCGTTGAGCCTGGACCCCCAGGTTTCAGCGGTGACCAGGGGAGCATTTGCACAGCTTCGGCTCGTGCGCCAGCTGCGACCGTATCTCGGGAAGTCTGACTTGGCCACGGTGGTACATGCTCTTGTCACATCCCGGCTTGACTACTGCAACGCTCTCTACGTGGGGCTGCCCTTGAAGACGGCCCGGAAGCTTCAGCTGGTTCAGCGCGCGGCAGCCATGTTACTAACTGGAGCGGGATACAGGGAGCACACAACGCCCTTGTTGTCCCAGCTCCACTGGCTGCCGATTTGCTACCGGGCCCAATTTAAGGCGCTGGTGTTATCCTACAAAGCCCTAAACGGTTCCGGC